TCCTGTGATGGACTAGAAGCTTAATACAAATTAGTAAACTAAACATGAGATTGTAGTCCATTACGGGAGCGAGCTTGGAGTGGTGACTACTTTACAACACACACAGGGACCATGGGGAACAAAAGTAGTCACCCTCCAGAAGGAAGGACAGTGTCAGCACCAATTCAGAGATGATTGGAGGATTGACAGCTGAGTGATACGCAAATAAGATACATTTTTGTTAATAGTTGAGGTATTTGAATGTATTTTTAAGATTTAACTCCTGAGTTTAGTGTCACTTTAAAGTAAATCTTTTTTGTTTCTTACCTGGAGATCCTGCTACGAATAGTACCGGCTGTTTCAAGCTGATATCACTCAGTCACTGCCTGGCAAATATCGACAGCGTTGTCAGCCAGCCATATGCGCTCCATCAATTGGCTGTTGGAGTGCCTATCAGGTCTATCATATAGGCAGATCAACAGCCCACTGAAGGAACATCCTGATGCAAATTGAATGTTGTCATCCTGAATCTTCAATTAAGGACCTTTGCATTTTCAAATAACAATTTGTGGCATAATGCCAAACATACTGAAACATTGAAAAATAAGAAAAATGAAATTCCCACTTTGCCATGACTCATGAAATTTGCTCACACCCTCATTATGCAAAGTGCTCCTCAGTCTTCTGGGTGGTATAATGAAGCAACATTTATCCTGACTACAATTCTTTAACACAAACTTGCCACACAAACTTGCCAGCCATTGTATACTTTTACAAAAAAATCCTAAAAGCAGGTACCACAAAGATAATATATTTTCTAGCCATAAAGTCTTTTACTTGTTCTGTTCTGATTTGCATCTCATCCCTTACATCTATAATATCTAAAAAGGTAAAAAGAACTGTTTCCAGTCTGCAGAGAATACAAAGCCGGCAATTATCTAGAAGTATTTGTTTGTAGATTGTCATTACTAAACATTTCTAAAGGTGTGTTTGTTGTTATTTTAAAGATACAGGTAAAGTTCCGCTTTAAGTAAGGAGTTTAGCATTCTCTCAATAAAGTTGAGCACGTATTTCACTGCATGTTTTGGAAAAATACAAAAGCAAATTTTGAAGAAAACGTAAAATTCCATTTATTTTAAAGAACCACTAAGAGAATAATTTGCAGGCGGGTATAAAACAGATGCCAACACTATGGTTTATATAACCTTGGATAACATTGTAACCTTTAATTATTCCTTAAGGTAGAAAGGAAAATATTGCCTCATTAGAAATACATTGTGTGGGTACTAATACGGCTCATGACTTTTAGGAATTTGCATTGTGAGCAGTGCTGATGCAGCTAGTATCTGTCTTGTGGAAATGTAATCTCATGGTGCTAATTGACTGTGACATAGGTACAGAACATGGGACAACTTAAGCATGAACTTTGAAATAGGTTACTATTTGCTAATTAGGCAGCAGGCATAAAAAACAATCATTCATCAAACTATTATTTGCAAAGCAACCCAAACGGAAGATTCGCCAGGCTGCAGAAATTTTAGTAGATATTGAAAGGGGACATAACGAGGAAAGGCAACACAATTAAAAAGCAGAGAGAGGAAGAGGAGATAAAGAAAAAAAATACATGGAAAATACATAGAAAAATAGAAAGATGCAACAAAAGAGCAACAAGGAAAGTTACAAGAAAAGAGAAAGAAGGCAGTGAGAGAATAAAAAGGAAAGAAAGGAAGAGAGAGGAGGGAGACTGAAATAGAGGGAAGACGGAAAGGAAAAAACCATGTCATAAAACATTAACATTTATTTGCCTTGTGTTTTGCATTTGGTGCTTTTTGGTGGAAAACTGATTGATTAGCGGAAATGAGTGGAAAACTACAATAATCGGTTGTAGCATGCAGGCTAGTATCTACTGTGTGTCGGTGGTGGGGCTGGTAAACAACACAAGGCACTATTTAACTTTTTTCTAAACTTTTTTGAAATTTCAAGGTGACATTTTATTAATTTATATGTTGCTGCAAAAATGATGGGTGACTCCAGATGTGCTCCAGTGAGTTGGGGAAAATTGTGGCATGTTTGCGTGTGCAGTGTGAACATGGCTCTTAGAGAACAATTTTTTCCTATGTGGCCTTACAGTGACTGATGGTGTTCAAGTGCCGAAAAATGCACTTAGTGCGAACGTGCCTTATGTAGTCCTTTTATTAAGCAATGTCTGCCATACTACTGCAAAGAAAAGGAATTTATAAAGCAGTGTACTTTACAAATGTGGATTGCACATTATTTGCTTTGGGACTGTGGAGTGGAGCACGACTTAAAAGAAGGAAAAAAAATGGAAAAGGGGATGTTCCCATTCAGTAATGTGATTGGCCTCTACCCCAACCAAAAATCCTCTCTGCAGTGTTAAAGAAGAGCTCCATGATTTGTTAATATTAATCCTTGCATTGGGGTTACCCGCACACTGCAAGGGTTATGTTCTTGTTTTGGTCCAGAGATGAAAATAAAGAAGAAACACTTACCCAATCCCCGGTCCTGAGGCAGTGACCGCTCACCTCTCCCCCTCTCGGCATCCTCATGCATTAGACATGATGACATCACCAGGTCCTTAGACTGCCAGAGCCTGGGGGAGAAAGGGCTATGGGGACTAGTCTAGCAGCCAGACAGGACCAATCATCAGGCCAGTATTTCTTTTTAATTTTTCGCCCCCTAGAACATAAGGACACCGAGGGACATACCATCGCTGCAGCAGAGGGGAAAACAGGGAGGAGTGAGCGCTTTAACAGCTGGCAGGATCAGGGGAGTATAACCCTATTGACCCGAAGTAAAAAGGAGAACTTATCCCTTGCAGTGTGGGTAGCCCCAGTGCTAGGGTTCATTTTTGAAAATCCAGGAGTTTTTTAAAGTCTGCTTTAAGAACTACGGAGGAGGAGGAGGAGCTTTAAACCACAGCCTACATTTTAGGATTGGGTTGTAAAATGTACGATATGGGGTAAACACTGCTGTGTCCAGATAACGGTATCCAATCTTCATTTTAAATAGGGCTCCAGAAGTTCCAAAGTGTTGTACAGCTATAAAAGTTTTATCATCACATTTGGTGAGTTGAGGACACAGTCTTTGTCCATGATGTATCTAATATATAAATAGACTCATGCACACTTGAACATGTTTTGTGACTATGTCCAGATGCCTTCTGGGAAATTACTGCAACCTTTAGACTTCTGCAGGTACACGTGAGAAAAAGAAACAGTACACATAATCCAATAACATGTAACCTAGCAACATTTATTATCCATTTTAAACTTGGAAAGCCAGGAGAAGCCTCTTCTTTGTGCTGCTCTGATTCAGACTTCAATTTGCGGCCAAATCACAACAAAACCAGCCCCTTTCCATGGGGGCCTCATTTCTAATAAGTGGACTCTTATTGAATGGGAAGATGATGTTTGTGCAGGGCTTTATCAGCAGTGGTAGGGCTTGGACCTGAAGTAGGCAAAGTCAAGGCCTTCATAAGAAAATATATTCAAGATCAAACGGAGGCACAGAAGAAGCTTTTATGCCAAACAAACATATGAACTGGTACTTTGTGGTGCCTGCCATTAGGAGCTATGTTTTATTTTCAAGGATTAAAATAATATAGGTCTGTCATTAGCTTTCCAGCAGCAGTCACATAGCTTTATTACCCATTGATCCTGCAAGCAGATCCATTATTTTCTCACTTCCTGTAATAGGGTAAGAGCACTGTTCATTTTGCAGTGAATTCACATAACACCTTTCAGACAGGGTGGTCTTAAGACTGGCCATACACCTGACAATTTCTTTCGTTTGACCCGCGGGCTCAACAAAAGAAATTGATGCGATTCCATCAGCACAACAGCGTGTCGATCGAGGAATCGCCGCTGTTTGCATTGTATTCTGAATGCCACGATCAGAGCGGGCAACTTATTGGCTGCCGGCTCTGATCGCACTGAGATTCTCCAGCCGGCTCCTTCGATCAGCTGATCGAGGAATGCCGGCTGAAAAGGAGCCGACAGCCCCACACAGTGTGCGAATTTTGGCCGGTACATTAAAAGCCAGTCGAAATTCAGCCAGTCGAAATTCAGCCAGTCTATGGGCAACTTTAGAAGGATATTAAGTTTCAAAAGAACCTCAAGTAAGCAACAAATTAAAACCTAACTCCAGCTAAATTATCTGCAGATTTTCTGTGGCCAGATGGAAAAAGTGCTACAGACTGGCCCAGGTGGAGATTACTCCATCCACACAGTTAAGTGTAGATGAAGGAATCTGTTGCACCTTTTCCACCTGACCACAGAAAATCTGCAGATAGTTGTAAGGTATATGGCCAGCTTAACACATTTCAAGCAGTTAGGGCAACAGGTTTTCTTTATTAAAAAAAGTTTTAAAAAGTAACATTAAAGTCAAAAAAATTTGAACCGTTTCTAATGCTGATTAAGTCACTTACAATGGATGCTGCTTCTTGAATTTCGAAGATGTTAATTTCTGGCAAAATCAGCTGGTCCCCTGAGCACTGGTCCTGATATCCTGTTTTAGGGTGGCTCCTTTCCCTTGCAGGGCAATATGCAGCCACCCTTGTGTGTGCTAGGAAGTTGTACGTGTCTCCACAAACACACAGACACAGCAGGGCACGTTGAACGTTATAATTAAAAGCAGACTATTGTAAACACCTACTGTCAGTGGTAAATGTTTTTTTCCCCAACCTCTTTAAAAAGCCACATTTGCCAATGAGTGGGAAAGTAACAGATCTCCTGTCAGGATTAACGGGTTATAAAACTATGTTACACATGGGGAAAACAAAAACTGTTGTGCTAGTGCTGTTCATAGGCTGCATCATACATGTAATTGTTTTTATTTTGCCCATAACTCCAAGTTTCAGATTGGCTTGCTCTGCAGTTTCCACAATTTCCCTGGAATGGATTGAACTCTTTAAAATAAAATTAGCTTAAGATCCAAAAGACGGTCCCACAACAATGTAAACACTGTGGAAAATCACAATGGTCATGACCCTCTGTACTCACATTGCACGATCAGCTGAACCATGGCTTCTCTTGGCTTGACATTAAATCCATTGTATTGACTGGTTTGACACCTGTATGTTCCCGTCATTTCTCGAGACACATTTACAATCCTTAATATTCCATCATAACTCTCCATCTGCATCGATCCATCAGGCATGGGAACCTCTTTGTCAGCTCTAGACCACATTATAATTGGCTTGGGCTTTCCAGAGACTTGACATTGTAGTTCGATTGTATCTCCTTCCCTGGCGACCATCGGAGATTTGCCTTTTGGAACAGTGAGGTTGGGTGGGACTGAAAAGAAAACAAAAAAGGGAAATGTTTGCATGATGTAAATGCCTAACAAAAGGTTCTTAACAAGACAACAGACATGAATGTAAACAGAATACAAATATTTTAAGCTGGTTTTACTAAATGCATACTGTGTAAAGCACTACTATCAAACTATAGAACTTTGTTATCCATATGAACCCAAATCATGAACCACCAACCTGCATCACCTGGAGAATGTACAGACATTATAATGCTTTTGGTCACCTAACACCTAGGATTTCACTTAAAGTATATGTTGAGGTATTGAATGAAAAGAAAAGAACCTATTAAAACATATGAACTAATACTCTACGTAATTCCTTTAAAAAAACAAAAACAAACATTTTTTTTTAACCGTGTGACCCCATGACCACGTGACTGCTCCATCTTAATTTTCTTCTGAAGCTCAGCGGGCTGGGGGCATAGAATACAAAAGATGCTTGGCAGTTTCTGCTGACATCACAGATACAATACAACACCTCTATCCCCAAGGGAAGTCCATTTGGGTTGTATGCGGTGTGGCAGTGTAAGCCAATGCCACGGTGGAGGATGGCGACCTTGGCACCCAGGACTCTCAGCCAAAGGGGCTGAGAGGGCCCAGAAAGTAAAGCAGGTTATAAGGAAGAACCTGGCTTTTCAGGTTCTCCCAGGTTTTCCTAAATGTAGCTGGGATCTGGAGCTCTGGAGATTTTGTAGAGCTCTGGGTGGGATGAAATCTCCAGTCCTGGAGCCAGGTCTTACCAATGACCAGTAAAGCTGGATCAGGTGGCTGAGAGCAGCCTTATTAGGAGTCTGGACCAGAGTTCAGAGGGGAGTGTTGGAGTTGTGTGTGTGTGCAGGGAGACACAGACAAACTCGGGTGCGTCCTGGACGCACACGGAACAGCCAGGGGTGGCTGGGAGAGGTCAGGAAGGTCGGTGACCCCAGGGACCTGTCGGACAGACTGCTAAGAGAGCAGAGTGAGTGCCCATGCGGGGAGAGGTCAGAAAGGTCGGTGACCCTAGGACCTGTGGTACAGACTGCTAAGAGAGCAGAGTGAGGGCTCACGAGGGGTGAGCAAGCGTGAGTGTCTTGAAGCTGTGGAAAGCTACCTAGCGCATCTAAAAGACTGTCTTATGTTGCTGTTGCAAGCTATTTTGTGTTTGCCCTTTCAATAAACTGCGTTTTCCTTGACTTACCTGGACTACAGTGGAGTGTCCTTATTACAGCGGGTATACAAGGATGACTGGCATCCCTTGCCAATCCTGACAGAGGCCACTGTACTGACACTGTAGAGGGCTGTACGAGGGGTATGACAGCTGTATTCTGAATACAGAACTACAAACATGCTGTGCATCAGTGTTCTGCCTCCGGCAAGGAAAATAATTAAGCGTACCTACCTGCGATATTCAATTTGGTCACTAGATGAAGAGAAAACATCTCTGTTTGCAGTAGCTTCAGGACTGATTTACTTTAATAAAACTCCCAACATCTTTTAGCCTGAGGAGAAGAAACAGGAGCATCTTGGGAGTTTAGGTTCCATTTTAGGACTGAGGAAGGAAAAAATCCATTACCATCCGTAGCACGTCTGAAGTAACGAACCCGCATCCCTCTTTGGCAGCATTGCCGGTAGGACTGAACGCATTTCTTTCTATATATACAAGCTGTCGCTATATTTACCTGTTTTGCATATTGTATGTTTTCATGGTTTTTTTTTTTACCAGTTTCACCCCACCCTGTTTTGTTAATAAACCATCAAGATTTTAGTCTGGCTTACTGCAGAATAGGAGGGTTTAGCTGCATGTCGAGCTAAACAGAGGGTAACATGTAGCGGGGAAAGAACAGTCAGCATGGTGCCCTATGTCTCCCACATCAGAAGAGGTGGAAAATTACCATACAATTGTATGGTCATTTGTATGGTCAGTTATAAACAGAACGGTGATGTTTACTGAGGGCACTAGCAGGTTAATCAGATATTTTATGATGGTAGATATTAATTTAGCCCAGCCTGACTGTCTCTGACCTGCCCCTTTCATTTAATGGATTTCAATCATTGAATCATTGAGGCTGACCATCACATGTGAATGTGACCACAGTTTCCTGTTTTGGGATGCAATGTACAAAACACTGCCATACCGACACCAGCCAAGGTCTGCCTGCATTGCATAAAGAAGAACAAAGACCTAGTGATAATGTCACTAGGTCTAAATAAAATAAGGTATGTATTGAAAATAGAAAGGTTTTCTTTAATTATTTTCATTAGCATGTTGATGAGGGGGGGGCGGGGACATGAAGACAAAATGTGAGTAGATTTGACTTTAGCTATGAACAGTGAAAGGCTACCTAATTGTTAAATCACATTTTATTTAGTCATTTTATTACTGACTTTTTCAAAACTGAACTTCAAGCACATATAAAAATTACTGAGCTCTATAACAATGCATACTTAAATGTATTTTGTTTTTAAATACAAGCAGTATAATTACCTACATTTGACTTGGTATCAGCCTACTGCAGACTACTGTTAAGTCTGCAGAGCTTTGTGGGGGTAGAGAACTAGAACAAGGCATCAGTTGTGCTGGACTGCAAGAAGCTTGCTGATAGCAGGAGAAAGCAAAGTAAGGCTGGCCATAAACTGCTCTATTTTTTTCATTCAAACTGCAGGCTGAATTAAAAAAAAATGAGCAGATTCCTTCATCAGCACTACAAGTATGTAGATTGAGGAATCTCGCTGTCAGAATACTTGACTGGAGGCAGCAGCTTCCCACAGATAGGACAGTATTTGCATAAGCACCAGCATGCATTCAGATGTAAACCCATGAACACAGCCTGTCTACATTTGGGGTTGTTTTTTCGTACGCATGTGCATCTTTATGCAGGCAGTTGTGTAGTATAAAACCCTTCCCCATCTCTGTAGATTCATAATAAATGATCATTTCTTTTCCCCATGCTGCTTCAAGGACTTACCTTAAATGATGCCTCTTGATCTGATCATCTTCTTTCTTCCACTTGTATTCAGCAATTCCTCCAGCGCTGGTGCCAGTCTCTGATCCAGCGCTGACTGCTGTTTCCTCCTGTCCCACGAAGTTTGTCCAGCGCGCACACTCCGGGCTGTGTGCATTGACTGTCACTGTAGCTCTCCTCCTCTCCCTGCTGGTGATCTCCACTGCACATGCGACCGCACACATCCTCCTGTATGAGTTTTAAAGCCGGGAGTGAGCGGCGGAGACACTGGTAAGTTTTTACCTCTTTGGTAACTTTTTTTTTCTAAATGTTTTTGCATATATCTTCTGCTTGCTAGCAGTTTATATATATATATATGTAAAAATAAAAATCAGACTTTAATGCTGTGTCTTCTGTGTGCCACGGAGTCTGTGCCAATGCACACTGCTGGCTGTTTGCATTGATTTGCCTTGTGTCTCTCCTTTTCTCCAGGCCAAAGATCTCCACTGCGCATACGCCCGCCCCATGATCCTTGACGGCCGCTCGAGAATTTTCCATATCTTTGGAAGGGAGCGAGCAGCGGAGACACAGGAAAAGTAATAACCTTTTTGGTGACTTTTTTTCCGTATGTTTTTCTATATGTCTACTGCTTGCTAGCAGTAGATAAATGCAAAAAAAAAAAAGTAAGGTGTATTCAATCAGATGAATTTAACTGTTGACTGGATCACCTCTAAATGGATGGGGAATAGTTTCCTAAAGTGCTACTTTGAAGAGTCATGAAGAGTAGATATGTAGTCTTGAGAAACGGAGATTGCATCAAATGAAGTAGCAGGGAGAGAGATGCAAAGCACACTGGGAATCCAGGAAGTTGGTGGAAGTGATGGGCAGACGGAAGGCAGCACTGGCTACATAAAAAGGGATTTTTTTCAAGCAAGCTTTGATTGCATTATGAAAAACAACTCCAGTATGTATTCCTATTACAATGCTGATGTTATAACAGGATAGTATATGTATGTGGGACTTTACAACTCCTTTAAGCACTGGTGTATACCTGCATACAGCTGCCCATAGAGAGCAATGGCTGTATGGCTGTATGCCAGTATACACCGGTACTTGCGGCTCCTGGGCACGGAAATGCACCCCAATTTTATGTTGCATGGCCCCAGGCGCCTGTGTCAGTGATCCCTAATAATCTTTACCTTCCGACAAGGGCATCTGTCATCTTTAATTTTTTTATTTAAGACATTTCTGCAGTTGATCCTAAAAATTGGGGAACAACGGCTGCAAAAAAATGGCATCCAAATTAACATAAGCTTAAAAAAATAAAGAAATAGGATATTTAGTGTTATTTATAAATCAGAATTTACTAGCAGTTATTTATAGAGGAATATTACTTTGCCTTCATTTGCAGCCTTTAAATCCACACCACCAAATTTTCATTTGAAATTCACTGCGTGCATACATGCCTAGCCGTTCTTTTTATTAATGCGAGGCGCCTCAAAGCATTGGACATCAGTCAGACTTAAAAGAAGAAAAAAAAATCACTTTGGGTTATTTAAAAAGGAGCTGCTAAGCTATTATTAGAAGCTTGCCTTCAGCCATTTTTCATGTAGAAAGTGCATGGGTCAGTGACTGGGAAATCAGTGGGTGCATGAAAGAAGGAGACTCCATGTATATAATCAGTGCAGTATACTTTAAGTTTGACTAGCACCATCTTGCAGCTGCTCCAACCCAACTCTCCCAGCAGGTGATGCTGCTGTATTACAGTTTCCTAGACCCAAGCCGCATAGAATCTGAACGATCATTAAACCACAGCAAATTAACATGGAAAAGCTCTCAGTTCCGAGGAAATACATCACGGGCAATGCTCAGACATGAAAGGATTGCTTTCTATTTGGACTTGGAGCAATGGTAGCCAGTAGGGTAACAAAGGATTTTATTGGTTCCCACCACCTGCGTAAATCCACTAATCTTGTCACCGTTATTAATGAAGGTCAATGACCTTTAATACATAATTATATGGTAAGCTGCATAGTTTACTTTTTATTGAACTGTGTGTG